AGCAGGAAGATGATGGTGTAAGGAGACACCATTTTGGCTGATCTCTTGGCTCCCTTCCCTGCCAGTTTCCAGCAGTGCAAGTGTTAGGTCTTTGCAAGACATGAAACTCCTCATTGTTTCCTGTCATTCACACTGGGTTATGTTCTAAAAAGTTGTGTATTTTCCTCCCTTATGCAACGGCAATTTAAGAACTGTTTGTTTGTTTTGTTTGGTTGGTTTTTTTGAGATAAAGACACCAGGGAGGGGGCAAGGACAGAACTAATACACCACAGTTCTTTCTACCTGAGCTTTTTGGCCACACAGATATGCAATCCTGTTTCAGCTTTCAAAGTATTCACAAGCACAGATTTTTTTACACTTTCAAGAGATTTATTTTGAGATGTGAAAATCCATTATATTCCTCCTTTTAAATTAGGTTACATCCATCTCAGCGCTTCCTAGCACAATACTGTACAGATTCAAATGAATTTATTGTAATAAAGAAGAATCAAGACAACACCTAAAAACTGAGCAGGCCTATAAAACCAAGTGACTTGGGTACACCAGGAGCTACATGTATCAGACCTAAATGATCTATTTTAAACCTTCACCCACCTCTGGCTAAAGCAAGAAGTTATATAAGCCATCAAAAATTTAACATCAGATTAGTAGGGGCACAAGGGCAGCAATAAAACTGCCATCCAGAGGAAGAGCAGGGTTCATTTCAGAGGCTCGATGAACACAGCACTACTCCACTTTGCCAAAAGCTTCTCAAATGGCTTTTTTAACGCATTAGTTTCCTGAAACATAATATAGGAGAGATGAAGTATTTACAGGCTCACAGTACTTTTAATTGATCAGCATATATTCCATCTCCCTTCTGACTTCAGTGGTGCAGCCCCGTTCTGTGGGCTACCCCCAAGAGCGGAGCACATCAGGGGAATCTTTCTTAAAAGGTTTCATAGCAGCAGACACACAGGGAGCTCTAGCGCATCCATGCTGTTCACCTACACAAATTCTTTCCTTAAAGCAGATTAAAACAAGATTAGTGTGTAGAGGGCAGGGGAGTTTTACCCTTTCCCCACTGAAGGAGAAAACCCCTGAAAACCTCCTTCACGGGATGCAGAGTCGAGCGTAAGGAAGGAAGGAAAAAAGTGTTTTGCAGGTGAAATTCCAGAAGATGAAGAATTGGAAGGCATCGCTCAATTAATGCAGTCCATAACGTGAATCTGCAGTGTGTCCAAATCAGGCAGAATTTCTTCACATTTGGGGCATGAATATATTGAGATATTCCGCTGCTCTGGCCAGTCTTGACCACCAGTTCCTGCAAGCAGAGAAGATACATGATTACCTGTTCTACAAGCTGATTCTTCCACTCTTTTTGTGGAGTGGTTGAGAGGACTGGCTTGCTCCTAACAGCCAGAAAACTACGCTCCCTGAGCTTCCCTGTTGCCAGGATAGCCACAGAGGAGCTGGGGAGCTGCTGGCAGCCAAGCAAAGCTGTTCTAAACTGCACCCAGCAGGGCCTGGCCCCGTGAGCTGGAGAAGCTGCTGCTGGTACCTCTCTGGACAAGGCGAGGCGAATGCTCCCGGTCTGGCGCCCTGGCTCCGTGGCGGTTCTGCATCTCTGCCAACGAGCTTCTGTGGAGAACAAGTCAGGCCAGGCCTCTGAAAAAAGGCTCAGCAAACGCTATCTTCCCTTTTTCTCCAGAGAAGGTAAGAGGATTCAAAATAAATCAAAGGATTTGCAAGTAAGTCGTGTCAATCGCTCATGCATTTAGTTGAGAACTGCTGCTTTGTGAGATCGTGCCAGGGTCC